CGCTAGGGAGCCTCTGGTGGTGCATTAGTATTTTTCCCTGGTGCAAGAAGGGACGTTGAGAGCCCATCCACGTGAACGGTTACACTCTGTCCCTGGACACATGAGGAAGGGCCCAGGACCAGCACAGGAAGATTTGTTGGACTTTGCAGAACCTCCATTGAGGGCCCTACCTTGCCTGGGGAGTGGTGGGGGGATGGGGTGGGGGGTGGGCTGGGGGTGGGGGAGGAAGAGGGAGAAGGGACTTGAAATAAGCTTGTTCCCTAACTAGAACTAATAAAATAAAATTAAATTAAAAAAATAAAGCATCTTGAGAAGGAATTTAAGACTTTCAAAAAATTGACCCTTGCTTTGATTCACTCCCTAGAAATCTAGTGAGTACTAGTTCTGGAACCTCTCTTCCAGACAGGCTGTGTGGGAAACTGTCTAAAACAGCATGGTTACCATTTTCTTACCACTCTAAATAAACAATTAAAAGGTTCTTTAATAACATCAGAAAAACTAAGAACAGCATATATGTTAGGGAGAAGGCAATGAAGACATCAAAGAATACATTTGTAATATCAGAGGCAGTTGCTTTGAAACAAATATAATAAAACATCATTGGTCTGGGGGGCAGCCTGCTGCTATGCCCTATGACCTGAGTTGGAATCTCTGGACCCACATGGAGGAAAGAAAGAATCAACTCCTGCAAGCTGCCTTCTGACCTCCGCATGCACAATATGACATGCATGTATGCATCTGCGGGCATGCGCACACACACGCACACATGCACGTACACACGCAAACATTCATACACAGTAAATAAAATGTAAAACTTTAAAAATTCATTATAAGTTGAGGGCAGACGAATGCCATAAGTGGTTTCGAGATGTATGATGCTACTAAATTAATGGCAGGTGAACTTTGGTTTGTAGTGGTATCACTAGCACAGAGCTTCTCTTAGGGACAGAAGGTAACAGAGTTCATGAAATATTAAAGGAGTGAGTCTGTGAAAGGAGGCCACTAGGAAAGATTCATTAGTGGCATTCTCTCATTTATGTTTTTTTTTTTTTTTTTTTAGCTTGGAATATTATCAACAACAACAAGGTCCCACCCCCATCACTGTGTATTTCCACAAAAACAATTACAAATACAGGACAGAGACAAGAAACACCTACTAGTTTTTACTCACTTTGTATGCATTTGAAAGTATAAGGCCAAAATGCCGGCAAGGCCTCCAAACACACCAGGTAAGCCGTGCAGGTTATGGACTCCACATGTATCTTTGATCATCAGTTTATTGGCTAACAGTGGCTAAGGTTGTCAAAGGGAGAAAGGTCATTATCTTGTAAGGCGTACAGAGCTCCATACTGAAGCAAAGAGCTGGGTAGAGGAATATATTTATAAATTCATATCATGCACATATAAAACACAGTGTGGTATTACACATTACAAACACATGGTTAAGATGTTACCGTAGTGAAGCAAATTATTGGCTTCATCGTGTCCACATTTACTATGTTTTAAAAATTTTGATTTCGGATATGAGCAATTAAAAGCTACTCATCGGCATGAATTCCAAATGCAGTACATTAAAAAAAGAAAAACTGTGTCGTTCTCATATACATTAAACTTCCAAGTTTGTTTACCGTATACGCCTGGTGCCTGCTACTCTGTATTCCTTTGCCTCATCTCTCCATTTTTGCCTTTACTCAGAAGAAACAGTTTTATCTGAGGCTCAGTTTTCCTTTGAAATTGAAAGGCACCCGTGTCAAGCACTTTACATACATTGTGGATAAAACAGTCTTTAGAGACTGGATTGGAAGGAAGTGGCTTCACCTTCTCACCTTCTAATAACATCTCAGATGCCTCATTAAAACACAAAGTCCACAAACAAACAAACAACAAAAATGAAAGAGTCTCTGAAACGGCTCTAAAGGAATTAACATAACCGTTAACATTGACTTCATGCTTAATTACTAATAACTAGTACCAGATTCTCCCCTGCCACACAGACATCAGGAAAGAGGGAAGTCACTGCAATGTGAGTGGCATTTCTGAACGGAAGACAAATAGCCTGCAGGAAAGGCAAGTAGGGAAGGAAACACCACTGATCCCACCAGTGGGACATGAGAAGATCGCGACACAGATTTAAGGTTTGGTTCAATACACCTGTCATACATACACTAAGGAACTTGTATCCAAGCACAGAGATGATCGCTGCAATGCTTCCAATGCCCATAGCTGCACAAAGGGGGATTTTCATGTCCGCGCATGTGCCCACAGCGACACCTCCTGCCAGAGTAGCATTCTGAATGTGAACCTGACCAGAGACAGAACCATTAGTGAGGAGTGGGAAATGAGGCAATGTCAGAAAGACAGGAGGAAGGCAGAGTCCAGGAGCTGCATTAGCCATTAGTTGAAAGACATTTCTTTCTTTCTTTCTTTCTTTCTTTCTTTCTTTCTTTCTCTCTTTCTCGAGACATAATTGGTCAGAAATGACTGAGGCTTGAGAACAAGAACAAATTCAAGTTCACCAGAATTCTCAGATGTCATTTTTAAAAGTAAACCTGTTGAGTATGATTTTTATTTTAAATGTGTTTCTAATTGTCTCTTATGATACAAATTGGAAAGACCTGAAATGTATGTTCTCAACCTTGCTTTAAATATGCACTATAGGGGTTTAAAAAATGGCTTAGTATTTAAGGGCCCTGGCTGCTCTACCAGAGGACCCTGGTTCAATTCTCAGAACCCACACAGTGACTAATAAATGTCTGTAACTTCAGTTACAGGGGATCCAATCTCCTTTTCTGGTCTAAATGGGCACTGCATGCATGTGCAGCACAGATATTATTGCAGCCAAGACATTCATAAACATAAAATAAAAATACATAAATCTCTCTCTCTCTCTCTCTCTCTCTCTCTCTCTCTCTCTCTGACACACACACACACACACACACACACACACACACACACACACCCATATAGTTCAGCATTTATTTTCTCCCAGCATTGGAAAAGAAGAGTGCTTGGTATGACTTTTTATTTTTATTTTTATTTTTCCATGCATGACCATTTCTCTAACTCCCAGGCAAGAAACTCAAGGCAAGGCAGGTTGAACTTAAAGAAAGATGTGATTTTCCTTTTGGGGAACAAAGAAGTTGCAAACGTTACTTCGGCAAATTTCTAGATGTCCATAGTCTGTATCTCTCCAGGCAAACATAGTAAAATCAAATGTCATTACTCGAGGACTAGTAAGGATCTCATTTGAATTTTATTAGCACCCAAATTGTTACTTTCCTTTTCTAGAGATAATTTGGGATTATTGTTTCTGTTTATAATTTTCCTTAAAAATCACACATGTATACAGTGAAATATAATTATAACTGCCTCTTGCTTTCCTCCTTCAACTCCCCTCCAATTCTCCTCACATTTCCCCTACTGACATCACATTTTTTTGATACTCCACTAAGTCCAGTTGGTGCTGCTCATACATGTAAGGGTGTGGGGCCATCCTCCAGAGGAAGGAAACTTCACCAGTGACTGCACAGCATAGCTATCACCCCTGAACACTTGCAGTTGGCAAAACAGAACCACCACTCGTCATCTGACTCCCCTGTCCTACTCTTTGACAAGTCAAGTATTGAGGGAAAATATCTACAGAGTTAGTTTTAATATGAAAGAAAAAAACTTTTATGTCTGAGTTTTACCTGACTGCATACTCTACAAACTTCAATTTCCTTGACTTCAATTTAGCAGAGCAGATAGTAAGTAAATGAAAGTTATTTTCAAAACACTCTCCGAAGTCTGCTGTATTATATTTTGTCCTGGTAACCCCACTCTGATGTGTAATGACTTTCTTATCTGAGCTCCTGTTGACATTAATGAAGGTTCCCTTGGTTTAATATGGTCGACACTTACCATATCCAGCCTGCCTCGGCGCTCAACAAGGCTGGACAAGGCATAAGCCATGATCACAGAGGCAACAAGGGACAAGTATGTGTTGATAATGGCTCTATACTGGTTTTCTTCCGGTTTAGCAATGGCTGAATTAAAGCTGGGCCAAAATATCCAAAGGAATAGTGTCCCTGTAAATCATAAATAGTATTAGTTATTATAGATCATGCTAGAGGGTGGTTTGCTCTGGGAATTGATGTCTGTGATTTTAGGTTTCATCATCTAAGAGCCAGGCAGAACAGGGAACTACAGACCCACCATAAAACAAAGTGATCTCTAAAAGAGGTCTCCTGGGCATCTTCAGGTATAGACATCCTCAGGCAAGTTCATTCTACTTACCAATCATGGAAAACAAGTCAGAGTGGTACACAGATTCCTCATTTTTATGTTCCCATCGGAGGCCAGGCCGATATAAGACGCCTGCTACAGCTAAGCCAAAGTAGGCTCCAAAAGCATGGATTGTCATTGATGCCCCAGTGTCAGAGGCCTGCCGGGACAAAATGGCATTTGTATAAATGGAGGTGAAAATTGGTCTCATAGGCAGAAAGAAGATGAAAGGATTGCTTGGGGGAGATGTTATAGACAATCTAAAATAAGGTAGTAAAATAGAAAAAAAATAGGACAAGCTCTTGAGACATGCAAAGATGAGGTACTTTTTGTTGTGTGCTAAAAAATTACTAAACATCCATGAACTTCAGAGTTTGCAAAACTGTTATGTTATCCACCTAATAGTATTGTGTTGGTGCTTAGGTGAAATCACATTCCTAAAGGGCCAGCTCCTTCCTGTGCACACAGTACATGCTAGGCTATTTCAGGTTTGAAAGATGCTCAGTGAACTATGACACAAAACAAAAACGATTCACATTTATTTGACTTTGAAGCTAAAGTTTGTTTAACTGTAACTCAAAGACTTGAACCTTAAAAAGCCACCCCCCTTCCCAAACCATGGCTGTACATTCTGTTATATACTACATGAAGACCAGCCAAATTCCAATACTGATTTGAAGAGAGACATTTTGTTCCCTTTTTAGGATCTGATATGAATTTAATCAAGTATTAATCTTTATTTTGTACTTCTATCTAGAGAGAAAATTCAGGATGCTAAGCCAGGAGCAATTCCTTATGCAAAGTAAGGTAGGAAAACATCAGCAATTTATTTAAGATTTTCAAAGTGGTACACGTAGAGGAATCTTCTGATTTCCTCCATCTTTGACCAGACAAAGATCCAGTGCCCTTAAAGAGCAATTTCATTGTTTTGAGTTGAGTCATCACTGTAGTATACATATGTCTTCAAAGTTCAGCTTTGCTGAAAGCTTCCATGTAGGAACCTTACTTCTCTTTACCATAGGGTTTCAGGAGAGATATAGGTGACTGTTAGTTATATTTGGACTTTACAAACGCCATGTAAGACTGTGTCCCTCTATCAATGCTCACATATTTTAGCAAAAGAACCCTTTCAATTGCATTCTTAGAATCCATCAAATTAGTCTTCACTTAAACAACACACTGAGCCTACAGGGTCTCTGTTAATTTCATCTCACCATGGAAGCTTCACCAGTTTCTGGCCAACTATGCTCATCTACTGCAACCCAAGTTCCTCCTGTAGCCTCCCCACTACCAACATGCCTGTGTTGGCATTAAGGGCACGACTCCTCCTCATTGACCTGTGCCATTGTCACTCCCTCAGAGAACTCCTCCCTTGTTTTTCACTCTATATTCAATAGCTTTCCCAGAACCCCCATTTCCCACTATGTATTTTCCATGTCTTTGAGTCAGTGGGCACGTTGCAGTTTAGATATGCAATGTCTCCCAAAGGCTCATGTGTGGAAGGCTTGGTCTGAGAGTGTAGTAGCGCTCAGAGATGTGGCTTTCGGGAAGTCATTGTATCACAAGGGAGATTTGGTATCTTCAATGGATGCATTGACTGAAGGGTCTATAATTGATCGAATGATTAGGACTTGGTGGAAACTGTAGGAATCATTAGAAGAATTATTTTGTCCCCAGCCTCTTTCTCCTTGCTTCCTACCCACCAGGAAGTGAGCTGCTTCACTCTAGTGTATACCACCAGTGTGAAGATCTGCCTCCCTGACGGCCCAGAAACAATGGAGCCAAGGGGCTATTGGCTCTTAGTACATGAACCAAAATATATCTTTCTTCCCTTAAGTTTCTCAGACAATTTGTCACAAACAGAAAGTTAGCATAGGGTGATATATAATTATTTGATTTTTGTCTAGCCCACTATACTTTTAGCTTTGTAAAGACAGAAAGCTTAACTAATTTTGTTGGTAAATCATGAAAACTTAGAAAGCTAAAATATTAGCTCTTGAATCAAATGTTCATTACAAGTATAAATAAAATGTACATGACTGTAGTCAGAAATAGACTATTATTATCTTTGAGGGAATCAGTAACATTTTCACAGGGAAGAAAAAAATTGACCCATTTCTATTTCTTTATATGGTTTAAATATAAGTGGGAATTATTGTTAGGCAACACAGTGCAATAAAAGGAGTGACAAAGTTAGGAAAACATGGTTTAAATCCGGACTCAGACTTGGGTGAATCATCTGTGAAGCATCTGTGGTCATTTGACTGGGGATAAATAGCAACAATGACACTTACATTCCATGGTTCTGTAAAAATGAAATGAAATAATGTGCAACTCTTCCTGTCCCCTTTTACAATAAGCATTCCATAGTGTTTTTTTTTCTTCTATTTCATCTGGTGGCTGTCCTGTAGAGATTTTCCCTTATTTAGAGTGGACACCCATAGCATGTAGTGGCCAGCACTGATAGGATATAGAAAGGATATATTTTCTCACCCTTACCTTAAATTTTTCAATAACCAGATATTCATTGCCAGCAAAGACAGCAATTTCTAGAATTGTCATGATCAACATTTGAACGGGGCTTGTTTTTCCCAAGACAGCACCAAAGGAAATCAGAACTGTGGCTGTACTGAAGTCTGCGTTTATCATTCTGAGAGTGAAAGAAAGAATACATTGGATTAAGAATGAATTGCACATTGAAATAGTGCAGTAAGTCATGGCTTTTGAATGGGGGCACTAATCCAACTTATGACATTTTGCCTTCAGATTTAACTATTCAGATTTCATTATCTCCCAATCTAGACGTTAAGATTTCAACGTATGAACTTGAAGGCAAGGGCACAAAGATTCACATACTCACTCTTTGATTCCAATGTGAAAGTTCTTTCCTTTTTTATGAAGGAGTCCCTGCACAATCGTACCCCACTGAAGGCCCAGAGCTGCAAGGAAGAGGTTGAAACCCACACCACTGAAGCCATATTTCTTCAGGAAGGTCATGAGGAAGCCAAACCCAACAAATATCATAATATGCACATCTTGGAATACTGAAAAAGAGAAGAGGTTAAAAAAAGCTTTGAATAAATGAACCCGAAGGGTCCTATTATAAATGCTTCTTAGTTAGAAAATGCTTTTATGTTTGCGTAAAACTGCAAAGGAGATCACTAGCTGTCTTGGTTATGTATTTGACAACTCAACGCAAGCTTGAGTTACCTGGGAAGAGCAACCTTGATAGGGAAAATGCCTCCATCAGATTGCCTGTAGACAAGTCTGTAGGGCATTTTCTTGATTAATGATTGATGTGGAGGAACCAGCTCACTGTAGGTGATGCCAGCCCTGAGTAGATAGTTCTGAACGGTATAAGAAAGCAGACTGAGAAAATCATGGAGAGTAAGCCAGTTAGTAGCCATCTTCCAATGGCCTTGGCTCCAGTTCCTGTCCTTAGGTTTCTGCCCACATTTTAGATAGTGAATCTGGCTGCTTCTCGATTCAAGGACAGTGCAGGGAGCTGGTTAACTGATTATTCTGCTCTTTGTTCTGCTTTGCCTCCAGTTTGTATACAAGTAGGGTCTAAATTAAACTTGGGGCTCTCCAGTGTGCTGAAAGGCATGAACCAGGCATTCCTCCTCCCAAATCTATCCTGTGTTTCTGTCTCTGTTTCTTTATCTGCCATTTCTCAATCCTCACGTTCCTACTCAGGTAACCCAGCTGACTAGTTAGAGCAGGCTCCAACAATCACGGTCAAATATAACATAGCCAACATCCAGACTTTGCCCTCAAGGAGCTTATAGTTGGAAAGCATAACATTTGAATGACATGAAAAATCAAATTTTTGCAATGAAATTATTATTGGTATAAGATTTTTGTAGGGTTTTCTTTATTCTTTTTTGTCTTACTGGTTTACTTGTGTATTATGGTTTCTGATTTTGTGTTTTTGTGGCATTTATGTGTGTGTGTTTCTTATGGGGATTATTTTTAGCTTATTAATTTATTGTTTGCCTGTTAGATTGTTTTCTAAAGAGAGGGAAAGGAAGGGTTGCGTGGGAGGGGAGTTGGAAAGAATCTAGGAGGAGTTGGGGTAGAGGAAAGTGTGATCAGAATATATTGTATGATTTTTTCTTAAGTAAAAGAAGAAAATGATGTTGACAATATTAAGGCTATTGGCAATTTCTTATGATTCAATTTTATGGTATGCAAAAATAAATCAATTAGATAAAATCAGAAACATGCAAAGACAGAGAAAGTGAAATGTTTAAGTGATAGATGGACAATAAACATTTCAGCAAAGATTTAAACAAAAATAGGCACTCGGAGAAGATATGCCTAGAAATCATGGCACAGAGAAAGCTTTGGACATTAGAGACCAAATAATTTACAAAAATGATAGAGCCAACATTTGAATTCAGGTCTGAGTTTTCCCATTCCTTCGTTATTTGAGCAGGATAGTCGTGTCCAGACCCCTAACCAGAACACTGGCTTGTTAGGTGTGCAGATGGGTCTCACTAGATGGGTCTCCTCTTTTCCTCCATTCTGCAATCAATTCAGAGGCTGAGAGTGGGAGACCCTGGTCTCCATTTGAGCTTGTCTACTCTGGTTGAGGCTGCTAAGTGTTGCCAGAGTTGCCCTAAAAAGGCTTTTCTCTGCCATTTCCCCTGGCTCCCTTAATGGCAGCCTAACACACTGAATTCACTCTGGAAAATGCTCTTGTCTTGTTGGAGATCACAATGCTTTCCCAGAGCAGTGTTTACTGAAGACATATTCAGGAGGACATTCTTTCTTCTGGAGAGGGAGCGAACTACCTGATGTTGCATGAGTCATGTTTTAGAACCTGCTGTGGGATTAGCCAAGGCCCTTTTCTTCCCAAGTGTGTCTCCTGTTGTTCCTGATCTTTATTGTACTGACCCCATTCTGTACCCCATTAGGAACACTGGAATCCAGATTAGATACTTAATGCTAAATAGCTGCCAATATTCACAATGTCTGTGAAGGATTTGAAATATAAGTTACCATGTGTGTGCATTTTTTAAAAGTTGTCTTACTACCATTTAATTTTTCTGTTTGTATTTGATCATAGACTCCCTTAGAGTGAAGTTAAAAAAATCAAAACAAAACAAAAACCCTTGCATGACTAGTCTTATCTATTACTTTGCCAAATCTTTCTGGAACTACATTATCTCCTCTTTTAAGGAAGATTTGGACTAGATATTGCCCAAATGGTCTTCTAGTCCTGCACTTATTTCATTTTTGTTTGTGATTAGGGCTCAAAGCTCAGTCAGGTGACTTGTTTCTAAGCGTAATGCTAGAATGGACCAATACAGGTTTATATCCTTCACTGTTTTATTTATTTAATTTGTTTCTTGGTAGTTGTATGTGTGAATACAATGTATGTAAGCCAATAAGAGCTTCCTTCTTTATGTGTTTCTTCTTCTTCCTCCTTTTAAAAATACGCTGGGCGTTGGTGGCACACGCCTTTAATCCCAGCACTCGGGAGGCAGAGGCAGGTGGATCTCTGTGAGTTCGAGACCAGCCTGGTCTACAAGAGCTAGTTCCAGGACAGCCTCCAAAGCCACAGAGAAACCCTGTCTCGAAAAACCAAAAAAAAAAAAAAAAAATAGCCCACTGAGTCCCACTGCTATAGGGCGAGATCCCATGGGCCATACGCAATCCACTATAGGTCCCAAATTAGCAACAAACTAACTCTTCCTCTCCTATGGACTATCAACTGGGGTAGCTCCTCAGCTGGAGTGGGGGACCCTGGGTCCCTCTCCTTTTATGCTGTAGTTTTGACTGGCTTAGTTTATGTAGACCTGTGCAGGAAGTTGTAGTTGCTGTGAGTTCAAAAGTGCAGATGGCATGTTCTGAAGACATTATTTTGCAAGTCTTCTAGCGCTCCTCTGGTTCTTACAACCTATCAAACCCCTCTTAGGCGACGTTCCCTATTGGGGAGGAAGATGTGGGATACAGATATCCTATTTGTATACTTTACTGTTGTTTTAATTCAGTATTCAATGTTTTCAACATCTTTTATGTCTTTTTCTTAGAGTTCTTTTTTTCCCTTCTGGAAGCTACTAATTTTAAGGTGTTCATTAACCAACTCACAAAAATTCATTTCATCCAATTTTTAAATGTCTCCTATTGTTAAGAATTATCCTGCAGGCTCTATTTTTCATTCCTTTTTATGGAAAACTACATATTATATGTGGCAAAGGATTTCCTGTTTGGTCTCCAATTTGTGTTACTGGTTCCTGCCACAAGAGGGCGTAAGCACCCCATCAGATATTCAAGTTGCTAAAGCTCTAATGGGATCCGAAGACTGTTGACAGTGCCTGTTTGATAGGTCCAGATCAAAGGAAGTTAGGCAATCAGCATTACATTAAGAGATTGCGAATGGAAACTAGGTAAATGCTCACTTAGTTTTGGGCAGCAAGGCTCTGCCTTTAAAACAATAAAGTGAGCACTTTTGGGGTGTTTACTTAGGCGCTTGCAGGTTGGGGAGATAATTTTTTAGCAAGTTTTAAGAGTTTCCTAGATGTTTGTCCATCAGTAGCTCTCTGCCTAAGTCTGATTTTGCACTTAAAGTGCATTTATTAGTATTTGGGGACATATTTGGTTGTTACTATCTAATCGGTACAGTGCAGTGAGGTACAGGGAGGGCAGAGACTGGGACTGTTGCTAATCATGCTATGAGCACAAGACAGCTCCCTCCACAAGGACTTTTCTAGTTCAAAATGCTAACAGTGCCACTGTCAGGGAAGCCTCATCTGAGTCAAACCATATAAAGATGCAGAGTGGTGCCGTAAAACTTCGTTTTAATTTAAAGCAGGGTGGGGGGACATTGAACAAATAAGCAAACTGATTCAACCCCCCAACTCCCACTTAGTAAGAATAATGTTTTCGTGCACAAAATAATAGGTTTATCCCTACATATTCATATATATATGTATATATATACATATATATGTCACTATACTTTGATTTATGCCCCCACTCTCCTCTTCACAAATACCTCCCTTCTGCCTTGCGCACAGTAATTTACAAGTGGCCCCGATTTCCCCTTGCTCTCTTCTCCCACTGAATGGTAGAACGTGAGAACAAAACACAATGTTTTGATTTTAATTTTAAGTATTTTCCAGAAACTTGACAGTAGAAAATGGGGAATCTGAAAGCTTATTTGGCTTACAGCTCCATATTGCTCTTTATCATGGGAGGAAGTCAGAACAGGAACCCAAACAGGGCAGGAGCCTGGAGGCAGGAGCTGATATAGAGGACATAAATGGGTGTTGCTTACTGGCCTGTTTTCTGTGGCTTGCCCTGCCTCCTGCCTTATAGAGCTCAGGACCATCAGTCTAGGGATATCTCTACCCAAAATGGGCTGGCTTGACCCTCTTCAATCAATCACTAATCATGCAAATGCCTTACAGGTGGATCTTATGGAAGCATGTTCTCAATTGAGGTTCTTTCCTTTCAGATAACTCTGGTTGGTGTGACATAAGACTATCCAGCACAGATGGCTAATAGCTCATGTTTCATTTGAATTTCTTACTAGTTGAGTGCCCTTGCATATTCAATAAATTTTCCTAAGCCTAGGTTTTCTCCTCTGTAAAATGGGAGTAATCTCACTTTACAAGACGCTATATGATTCTGGATTTTGTATTTGCTTTTCTGCTGATGTCTCCATTACTTGAGACACACCCCATGCTAAATACAGAATAAGCAAGTTAAACTCATAAGTGCATGGGACAGTAAGGTCTTACACTTTAACAGATCTGTTAAGATCTGTTAAGATACTATGCTCAGGGTCATCCTTAAAAGGGGTTAGAATATTCAAATATTTTCAAATAATTAAACCTGTGCATAACCCTAGGCACTCACTCCCTTTACGCTGCCCTACAAGATCTCTATGCAGATGCTTCCAGCAGTCTTTTCTAGCCATCCGCCATCACCGGTGGATGAAAGACCTGAGCTAACATGGGGTTAGCTCATTAAACAACTATAATAAAGCCTCGTGCAGTTTGCATAAAAAAAAAACCTGTTTCTTTGTCTTAAC